AAATGCTTTGTGCGAACTATGCAATGTTGAAACTTAGGGATGGGCCTCGGCTTCTACCATAGCTTCAAGAAGATGTAATAGTTACAAGAAAAGTATGCGGTCATAAAAAAGACGTCACAGAAAAAGAAATGGATTCAATCATAAGATTTCATAGAGACCATTTATAGCGTCTGGAACTCTGTTTCTCGTCTCCAAACGCAGATCATGATTGATCATGTACCGTAAACTTTATGTCTAGCTCCAATAACACAGACTGTGATGGAGCGAGAACAAGACAAAAATAACACGGAGAGAAAACAAAAAATAGAAACGGACATAATAACAAAAACTTTACAACAAGTTAAAATTCAATTCGCCAGTGAAGACGGAACTTGTTGGGACCGGTGAAAGCTAATGTGATTCGCATAAATAGAATTTCATATTGGACGTGTGCTGTGTCTAGACGGTGGACTCGGACTATTTATGCATATTCGAAAATGTATGTCTGGCTGTCACATCTAGAGACTTAATATGAGCATTTTATGAGACCAAGGAATTTCTGTCAAAATGTAATTCTTTGTAGGAAGATTACTTTGAGACGTACAGATTTTTGCTTCTTTTTCCGGATTGGATTTTGGCGCGCACTTCCACACGTAATTCACTAATACTCATAAACATAATGTATTATAGAGAAAGAAAAATATTTTCATTAATTTATTGGTAAGTTAAATATCGTCGCCGACGAAATCACAATAGAATGCCAGACAAACTTTATATGTTTACTTGATGTTTCCAAAAATTAGATAGGTCTACCTAGGAATTACCTACACAAACATTAAAAAAACAACTTAATAATGTATTGGCAACAAAAAAGTATTAAAGAAATGTTTTTATCTCTAGCTTACTTACACTACGACAGTGAACAAACAAAAATAAGCCAAGAACTAAAAGAAAAAGTTATTGACTATCAGTCTAAATCTTATAACTAATATTTTCAATGTATCGTTGTTGGTTTCTATAAATAAATAAGAACTCAGCAATCTAAACAACCAGTCGTTCCGTGCCTACTTAACGATGCCTCTTACATTTCGGTAGCCGGTAGCCAACAAACGTTGTAAAGGCAGGACTACACCGGAGGATTGCATGTGGCGCGCGTGGGAACACACGTTAGCCCGGGGTTGACAGGTGTACCTAGTATTCTTTTACGAGATGTTTACGGAAGCTACCGTTTACGATTGAAGAACTTAACCAATATTAACATAGGTCTGAACAATGCAAAATTATAATATGGTGACTTGATAGGTATACCAATACATAATACATATACGTCGATAACTAAGGTTCGTAAATTACGCGCATTTTACACGACCAAAATTTCAGGATTTATAGCGCAAATAACTAAAAGAGATAAAAGTTAAACAAAACTTAAATTACGTGAGATACTTTTCAAGTGGTTCAACGATCAAAGTGAATGAATAATCATGCTTGAAATATTTTATGTTTAGAACTATAATTTAAAAAAAAAACAATGCACCATTTAAATAATGGTCATATTATATACATAATTTCTAACGGCTTTGCCAAGTGCCAACCCTACGTAATAGATGAGCCGCCACGATTGCCCGCGCAGACGATGCACGAAAGAAGTTTTGCATGAAACTGCGTCGGCAATATCAGATTGATGCTTGGGAAAACTAAGAGTCAGCAGAAAACATTCGAAAGAAACACAGAAGTTTCACATAAAGAATCCAAGTATAATTGTATGTTGCAGATTCATATTCATAACAGACTGGAACAATATTCTAAAAGGCTGAATCAAATAGCCTGTCATCGCAATCTAACAAAATCTATAGGAGGCTGTTATTTTAGCCCTGCAAAAATGGACATTACAAAAGAAGTAAATTGCAACGCAAGATGTATTTCAGATTTTTTTATTTTTGGATTCTATAGACAGGATTACAAGCCACACTGATATCACATCACCATGATAAGCCAAATAATATAACTAGAACCTTCTTTACAGCATTTACTGGTGTAGCTGTAAACACAGGTGCACAGGAATGACTTAACTGTATCCATGAAAAACTTGACTACCTCAAACGAATCTACAATTTAGCTCAACGCGTAATTATCTTTATCCACGATATGGTTCGCGAGGACCAAAAAAACAATCTAGCGCAAGTCGTACGATGCGAGCACGCCTTGTCCGCGCCTCTGATGCGTCGAAACGCGTAGATAATTGCGCACACGTCGCATCTTGAGATGCCGCGAGAATTTAGGGCTGTGCTATCTAAGACCAAGAAACTTATGAATGTCAAAATCATCATCATCATTTCAGCTATAGGACGATCGCTGCTGAATATGCCTCCCCCAATGATTTCCACGAAGGACGATTGGCAGCGGCTTGTATTCAACGCCTTGTCGCCTAAATATTCATAAAAAGGGTAACCCTTAGGGGCTCTTTACATGTCTCCTTATCTTTTGGGCCAGATCAGCGCTTTGAGACAAACATGGCAAGTGCTGAGAAGAAATGCTAGAACAAACTCAGTCACCAGTGTTTGTTTAGAGCTAAATCCAAGTAGGTACATCAATATTTGCAGGCTGAACTGACCTTGCATTCTTGTCATTAATATAAGTAGGTAATCTTGAACCCTTAGCCTTCTAGACTTATTTTGGTTACGTTAGCATCAGGATTTTTTATTCCGCTTAAGAGAAATTTTATCAGATTTTACATCTGAAAAGTCCTCAACGATATTCGTACTTGAAAGAGTGCCAAAACACATGGGAGTGGTATCCGGATACAGCGAAATTAGAAAATTTGAAACTGCAATTAATTGCCTGTAACAGCTAGGTTGTTTTAGAAAAACTTTCGAACTCTTCAAACATTCAAAGCTGAAATTAAAAGTTGTGAAGAAAAACTACCGATAATTTTGAGAACTCAGAACACGTCTGAACTCATTTGGTTTAAACATAGGGATCTATGTAATATGACAATCGGCAAACATGAAGGCACATGAAGGCGCATCCTCAGCAAGTCAGAAATGTCAGAATCCCTCTGATATCTCTCTATAAACCAAATGTACCATCGTACACCCCTATCCCGCTAGATCCCGCAAGGCGTGCCTCGCGAGGCGTAGAGAATCGCCTCTAAAACAGAACAGAGATGCTAATGATAAACCCTGGATGCTAAAGAGAAAGGCTGCACCCATCGATGTGCAGATACACAAAGCGTGTCAAAACAGCTAAAGGTTATAAACGTAGTTACGACACACACAATAATTAAAGCATGTGGTTAATCCGTTCTCAGATTGAATCCCTTGTACCGGTTATATCCTGCATTTTGTTCCTAAATGTTTTGTAGGATATTATTCATTTTATCTGTCTCATATTCATCAATATGGAAGTCGGTTAAAAAAAAGAAGATTTGAGAGATGCACATCACATCATTAAAAACCCGTAATTACCAAAAATCACCAATTTTCACATTATTTTGTTTGTCTCTAATCTGAAAGAGAAAAGGGGTCTGTAAAATGACGAAAAAATATGCGGTAATAAATAAACATTAGAAATAGGTATTATAATAACATCTGATGTTGATGGACTTACCTACTTCCTTCAGTGTGGTAACGTACAAAGTACAGAATAATAACGTCGTATGCGTTACATACGACGAAAGATATTTCATAAATAGAAATTCATTTCGTAACAAACGATATGGAAGTAATAACTTTACATTATCTGCATCATAAAATTGTGGATGTTAATGTGAAACACAAGTAAATAGATCGTAATGTTAACTAGCTGATGGACTTACGCAACCGGAACGGTCGTCTTGTTAAATATTGTAATATTTCACTTCATATCATGAATCAAATGTACCATTTTTGTTATCAAATGGGCCTACTCCAGTTTTGACTCATAAATTATAAAACGTCAAGAAATATGTACCGAAGTTGGAAGTCCATGGAGTTTAATTTATCTCTAAGTTAATAGTCACACTTACATACGATAGAGTTCAGCAAAAATTGAGATCAACTTGTGGTCATTTATAAACTTAATGGTAACACATTTATCAAAACTCATTAGATCCTTGCAAATTGCCCTTCCACGAAACCTCTCATTACAAAACAAACCAGGAAAACATCTATCCTTATCTAACATAGGCAAAAAGGTATACACAGGAACGTGACAGAGCGATCTAGATAAAACGCCGTATCAGATGAGATCGAGATCAGAATGCGGTTAAGATATTAGTATTAACAAACGTCTCATTATTTATTGCATTGCTCTTCGCTATAAATACAGCCAGGATCGAACCCCTGTTCTTATTTAGACCTTCCTGCATTGACATAAAGATGCACCTTATTGTATCTGACTTTACAACGGTGTTTATTAGTTTTATAATAAGCCTGAGTTATGTAATGTTCGTTACGATCAGCTTTTGGGTCATCGAGCTGCAATTGCAACAATGTGGCGCGCACAACATTTCCTACACAAAAATAAAGAGTTTATTAGTCTTTCTGACAAGGTAAATATAAACAGTAAGACGATTGCTCTTAAGCCGATTCAATAAGTATGAAAATTAATTGAATTTAAATAGATAACACAGACTCAAAATTTATCCCAGAGATAAATAAAGTTGATGGGACGTAGACGATAAAGTTAAATGAAAATATGTTATTAAATGAGAAAATTTCGTTTAATTTTCTATGCAAATTCACATATATCTAAATCGAAACTTAATGGATATGATAAATTTCATTTATAGCACTTAAAACTAGTATTGATATTTACAACCAATAAACAGCGTAGTTATGAAAACTACTTCATGAATCATTCGAGATTACATCTTACGACATCGATACAAAATGTTTCAGATATCGAGCCATCGTAAAATCTGTGCATTAAGAAGCACAAACATCGATTCGGGTCATCATTTGAATCGTAATAGTAAAATATAAGTTGGCATCTTGCTGTGGCAGTACTTATATGATTGCGAATATTATAATTAACACACTTACATTTATATCACGTTGGTTTACTCGTACTTGTCTATGACCGTACAGGATCCGTTTTCTGAAAAGAATAAAGAATACGTTTACATAAATGCAGAAAAAGTAGAGAATTGATGAGTTCAGTAAAAGGACTAGTGACAATAAATACCAAGCATCTTCTTTGACGTTACTCAACTGCAGCCATAGAAAGGACAGTCAGGTACCCTGAATGAACCTTGATTTTGTAGAGCAAATATCATAGTTGTATGGTCAGCGAAAAACACTGTATTAGATGAGGGGAGGGGACTGTTCTCTACCTCTCGTTCTTATCTCTATCCTATCTAAATCTCCAGAATAATTACATTATAATACTTGATTGTCAATAAAAACCTAACCGATGACGGCTAACTTAGCCTCAGGGAACCTCCAGAGTCAGGTTCAGTCATGGTTACCTTCTCTAGTTATAAAACTTGTAATAAAGTTTGCGCAACAATACTGCTTTGGTAGAGAGAGCACATCAGACCATACAGTTTTATGGCAGAATAGAACTTATTACAGCTCCATAAGATGCTACAGAGTTTAGCTTGATGTGCTGTCATCTCGAGGGCTATTCGGTATAAACGCCAAGATCAAGAATCGCTTAAATAGTGTATCGCGCTGATAAAAAGTGATTACGCTCGATTATTTATGCACGTCCACTCGGACTTCTCGGCTCGGAGTCGTAGCGGTGAACGGCCTATCTATGCCTTGGATTATAATCAGGGCTGTCACATTCATTATGACCGATTCGGCTACAGTAAATTAAGGGACCACTTTAAAACGGCTCTATCATTGAGAAAAAATGCCATGTTGGATAAAAAACCAAGAACTTACAATAATAGGTATAGTTACAAATAGAGATGTGCCGCTGAGAAAGTTCTCGTTCCCGGCAATATTCCCAGTGAGAATATTCTCGAGAACCGAGAACGCTCCCGGGAATATTCTCAGTGTTCTCGACAGAATGCATTTAGTTTTAATTTTTATTTTGTTGTTTATATGTGATATTATCTGTAATGTTTCGATGTTTTATTAACTGGGCGTTAAGACTAGTCGTTATAAACAAGGCATGAAACGTGTGAGTGAGATATTGCTGTCTTGCTCACTCTTTTCGTGGCGAACGCGTACCGCGACTTTAGGACTCGGCTACGGTATTTGAACATCAGTGTGCCTCTGAGTTTTAAGGCCCTTGCCACCCTGGCGGATTGCAAGCGGATTCAAAGCGGATTCAAAGTGGATTTAAAGCGGAGTGGCGACGCGACGGACAAGCCGCGTGAAAATATCGTAAAGCTTCCCAAAGGCTGTACAGCCGAGCTGGATTCGATGATTGACTTGTTTTTCGAAGTTGGAACTACCTAGCTGGACTGTTTGTCCCAGGTATACATTATTGTCAACAACCTCGAGTGTAGAGTCTCCAACTTATAGAGGAGTTGGTGCAGCAACACGGTCTTTAGACATGATTTTTAAATCTTGTCCATGTTCATTTTGAGACCCACTTATTGAGAGACTCTGTTGAGGCCATCGAGCATTGTGCCTAGATCTTTCACGATCTCAGCCATGACTACGATATCATCTGATGTCTGGGTTATATACTCGCCGTTGATATTTATGCTGAATCCGCTCCAGCCCAGAAGCTTGAAAACATCTTCCAGGGCGGTGGTGATGACGTCTCCCTGTCTCACCCCTCGCTGCAACTGGATAGGTTTCGGGTCCTGATCTTAAAACGGACTATCACTGTGGCGTGTTTGTACAAGCCTTTCAACTCTTTAATGTATCAATAGTCAATTTGGCACAGTTGAAGAGACTAAAGCACTGCCCATGTTTCAAACGAATCGAAGGCTTTCTCAAAGTTCACAAACGCAAAGTGGCTGATTATACTCCTTGATCTTCCGTATAATCTGCCGTTGCGTATATTATTATGGTATATGGTAGTTACTAAAGCCTTTTCGGATACTGGCTTGTTCGGGGGGCTGAAAGTTGTCGAGCCTGCTAGCGTGACAATTCGTAATGACTATCGAAAACAGCTTGTAGACATGGCTCAGAAGCGAAATGGGTCTATAATTCTTCAACAAGGTTTTGTCACCTTTTTTGAAGATGAGTATTACCATTCTTCTAAGTGTCGGATCAATCTAGCTAGCACTTATTTTCTATAAAAATGTGTCAAATGATCCGTCAGACAGGCTATCCACAACTTATCCAGAAGTGGCGAAACAGGCCCTTACTAAGCGATTGTGAAATATGCCCTTAATTTCAAATAAGAATAGTTTAAAAAACTAATAACACGCTTTTAATTACTAACAGCACTAAAAAGCCAAAAATCATCAGGACCGTGGACATCATCTAGCATTAAAGTGCTCGAAAAGACAAATCCAACGAAACCAAACTCGATGAGTTTCCGCCGTTTCATTTAGGACAGTGGTTCTTAACCTTTAAGTCACGAGGGACCATTTTACCAAATTTCTGTCTTGTCAGGGACCACCTCATAATCGGTCAAAACCAGTTTGACTGCAAAAATCAGTTAAAAGTGGTTTTGACCAAGGTGTGCAAGTGCACTTCGTGGACCACTTGGAATGCCTCCAGGGACCACCGGTTAAGAACCATTGGTTTAGGAGTTCCTATGGCTACCTCCTGACTCCATCATTAGGACCCTGAACATTATCTAGCACTTAAAGATCTCGAAAAGACATCCAATGAACCCAAACTCGATGTGATTCCGCCGTTTCGTTTAGGAGTTCTTTTGGCCACCTTCCAGTCCCATCATCAGACCAGCTGGTACCACAATATTGTATTGTCATTTCTAATCTACATGTAATTGCCAAGTTTCATGATGATACAATACTTAGAAGTGCGTGTAATTCAGATTATAAGATTCCATTACATAGTTAGTTACATACACGACGACCTAATAAGAGCGTGTTAAAAACGAAAAAATGGACAGGTACATTATTTAATTACGTGTAAAAAGAAAATTCTGTCATCTTACATATCATTAAAACGACATTTCACGACGAAAAAAATAAAATATAATAAAGGTGCAGTTGCCAAGAATATTGCCGAGAAAGTTCCCGAGAATATTCTCGGGAACACTGAGAATATAGCCTTTCACTGCAAATAGAGTGTATTGTTTAATATACACTTATCTGTTGACTTAATTTAATACCGTTTTACTTAAAAAAGTTTGTTTATTTCCATTTTATAAACATGATTCTCAACCTTTCTCACTTAGGAGAACGCTCCCGGGAACGCTCCCGAGAATATTCTCAGTTGAGAGAGCGTTCTCGGGAACGGCACATCAATAGTTACAAAAGATGAACTACCAAGCTTCACAGTTTCATAACATGCAACAATAGTTTTGAATTTATTATTTCTTTGACACAAACAGTGGATAGGTAATGTTTGGATACTTTTAAATTTTTAAATATTATACTTAGTACCTATAATTTTTCAAACAAAATATTGAAGAATCGGAGAACGTTATCTACAATCTGAAAATCGCAGACCTATTTCACTTGAATATACAATTGTAAACCTGTCTATCTTCGAGAAAGCCGGAGCTAGCAGGTAGCAGCCCTGATTATAGGATGCGCGTGCGACGCGTCATGGAAACGTAACTGGGCCGTAAAAATATAATTTATGATCGGCCACTTTTTACCGGCCCAGCGGTCGGCTCACAGTATATCGCTGGCTCAGAGGCAAAATTTACACAACATTACAACTCCCATTTCTAAATTATTCAAATATTTTATGTATTCACATAATTCAAACGATTTATCAGCTCCATTCACAGCCATACGCTATTTGGATAATAACTTAACGGCCTATGATGATTCAACAGAGAGTGTTAAGTAACTTCCAAATGAAATGGCTCGTAGTAAAACACAATTTGTATGGTTTTCAGCGGGAATTTATTGCAAATTCCATTATCGATTGACATTTCAACATGTTGAAACAATTACTCTGTCCTCAAAGACAAAGTAAGGTGCGAACTTGGCATCTTCTCAAAATGCCAACTCCATAATAAATCATGAACAACCGCGATGATTTTTCAAAGTACTCAACCAGATCTTAATGAACTTCCTGCGGCTAGCGGATCTCCATTCACATAAATCCCTGGCAATAAGTCATGCCCGCTCCAACTGTTTCCATATTTCATTATTGCAATAAAGAAGATGGGACGATATCTTCATTACTGGGCACAAAATCGATGCTACGATAATTACAGAGCTCTCGCCAGGCCCGCAACCACCGGTCGATGAAATTAATTCCTGATGGAGGTTAGAGAAATAGTGCATCCTTTATGTGGAGTACGTTATTGATGATGCTAATGGCGCTTGCCGCAGACGGCGGGTTACTGCAACTAACGAACGATAACGAACCACGAGAACCGACAAAAAAGACCCTTATCGCTGAAACCGTTAAATTCAAGACAGTAAAAGCTGTCTGAGTCACTAAAACATAATTTCGCTTATCGGCTGCGATGCGATGACAAATTCGTCAATAAATCCAGAATTTTGAGAGGGTGAGATTATACAACTCCGTCACCAACCGGTTCCAAACTCGTTATCTCGATTGCGGGAACTGTACAAAAACAACTGACGAAAAGACCGTAACGAACCGATCGTTTTTTCACAATAGAACTTATTGGTGTCTAGGCAATCGTAATTTTGCATATGAGAAACTTTATTTTCGTTAACGGTACGGTTCAATTTGGATTGGGCTTTAATTTATCGTTTTTGAGTGTGTTTATAGTTGTCATTTTTAAATGTTGTCAAAAACTTAAGATGTTTGCCTGGTTTGCACGGTTTTGTGTGTCGCCTTCTAAGAAAAGATGATTGTAATAATAAATCATTCGCTTTTATCTATTTACGCTTGTTGAAATAACATTTTTGCGATTGTAATCATAAAGATGGAGAGAAAGTTGTTATTTACACTAAAGCTCTAACTTGAATATAGGAACACTATTTTGCGGTCCGTAGACAAGTGTAATCACGAGCGATCGCATAATATCGACGGCCCAGAAAGTTCAGAAACAAATCACAGCAATTT